TTTCATGAAAGTGTATTTTGCTTTATTGACATTGTATAGAAGACACTTAAGATAGTGCTGTTTTATAATTTTTTTCTCTGTTCTAAGGGATATTTACCAGATTCATTATATTATAATTTACAACAACTTCAATAAAGAAAAATATGATATTAATAGAACGAACCAATGTAAAGAATCGGTGATACGTCCAAACGAGTCATGGATCCAACTACGCGTCCAGTTACATTACCTATACCATCTACAGCAAGCCATGCATCTCGACCTCTTCTTCCAACTCGAACCGTGTGCGCTATATAACTTTTACTTGCTGTAGCTGTTATAGTGGTAGCGCTAAGGGGAACACTCGTAAATATTCTACGTACACCTATAAAAAGTGGTAACATTATAAAACGAAATAAAATTTAATATCGAAACATTACAATACGTTTGCAGTTTACCTGCTCCTAAATCCCAGGTTAACATGATGTAACCACGAACGTACGTTATAGAAAGATAGTCCGACAGATCCTGCCGTGATCCACTTTGCCCTAAGTAAGCTATTAGAGATATTTGATCAAATGTTCGCGGTATAAGTTTCATCTTTAGCTCCATAGTGTCTTTTATTGAATTTGATACACCGTAAGCGACGTACGACGAGAATCCAGGTACCAGTACCGAGAACGATGGACGAGTTATAACTGTGTCTGAAATTTTGTGATGAACTTCTATCGCGTTTCTTAACATCAAGGTAAAACGTATGGTGTGACTCAAAACGTTGTTAATTGAAATAAAACTTGTTAAATTAAATAAAATGTTATATTCTTAACGCGGAATATTTGTTGTTCGATAATAACGTAGAACTATCGAATTCCAGCTGATTAACACGTTCTCTGCCAGCGTCGCATATTTTCGACGGCTGTAATCCTATATTTTACATAATGAAAATGAACATTTTTCTAACATTTTGTTTAGAAGATTTATTGGATTGAAGAAAATATAATTGAGGAGACCGTTACCGAAATAAGCGCTGGTAGCGAACGCGTTAAGTAAAATAAATTTTCCTTCAGTATCACTTTGTCATACCAAAAATAATTATGTATAGACCGTTCAAGTGGATCATTTTTTCCGCAGCAATATTACCTTCTTCACATAGGAGTCCATGTGTTCCAAGGGGGCAAACACAAACGAAACCTGATCCCGGTGAACTGACGCAAGTTGCGCCCAATGCGCAAGGATTCTCATCGCAGGTTGATCGCTCACAGAATGGGCCTGTATACCTATCCAATCGAACAACACTTTGCGTTCTAATATATCGTGCAACATCTAACATCACGTTTGTTATTAGGTAATTAAAAACTGGTCATCTTACCCGGGTATACATCTGCAACGTACTGTACCATTCGTCTCCTCGCATGCACCGAAATTTTGACAGGGGTTCGAGAGGCAAAGAAAAGACACGCAATCTTCGATTTGAAATGTTTCTGTTGAGTCGTATATAAAATGACGCGGGACATCGTTTACCTGCAAGAGTAACAGATAATGAGGGATACACGCGACACGGCTACGTGCAATGACACTTTAGCCCCTTGCCCTACGATGTCGTGTCGGACTCGTGGTGAAGATTTCAAATAGAATTTAACAAGCGTAAATATCATTCAATTTATTTAAATGCAAATTACGTGCTATTCCCCTGTTATTAATGAGTATACCTTAGAGCACACGTTGACATAGACTAAGACTGGAATGTTCTCTTACTTAAATTATTAATACCAAAGTAGATCGTTCACAGTTCAGAAAGAAATAGGGCAAGGGGTTAATCATTTGTCTTCCCCTTATCGAATGTAACAATTGAAATCGTGTAACGTGGTTCAAAGTTTGAAGTTCATGTTATTTCTGACGAACTCTTTGGTTTCTTTTAATACAAAGGTGGAGATTTTCTGTCTGTGGACTAAAGAGAGAAAACGTGTTTCCATGAACAAACATTTTCGTATTCGCTCTATTCTTATTCCGACAGACTGTTGATCTTTAGTACAAAGTTCACTGAAAAATTAGGCGAACCTTTAACGAGTCCATGCAACCAGTAAATCCCATAGAGACGTGCGAAAAATATTGCGTAAACACTAATGGTATGCCTCCCAAATGTAAATTGGCATGTCGCGGAAGGCTTCCCTGTAAGGGCAATATTTGTTCACCGCTGACTGCTGTAGTCCCGTTGACTAGTAATCGAGCCGAGCACTTATTGGTTTCGTTTCGAATAAAATATTGGAACCTACGTATAGAAGGGAAAGTATATAAGATAAAAGTATGCATCGTTTATGGAGAGAGTCTACCGAATTAACGAATATTATTATATTACTATTATATTATACCATTATGTTTAAAATTAAACCGCGAATTCTATTCGCGGATAAGTGAACCATTCTGTTTAACACGTTGAATGCCGCACGATTTCATAAAGCAAAATACAGAAAACGGAAGAAATGTAATATTGTATCATTTGATTGAATCGCATTATTATTATTGCATGCTCATCTAGCTGAATGTCACCGCATTAGGTAACGTTATTTATAATATAGAAATGTTTTCAAATAATCGTCGTTTCATTGAATGGATTGTAATAATTCGATTCTATAGCATTCAACGTGTTGAATCTCTATTTCCAAAATCACCTCTAGTTCATTTATAGCAATTACTTATTGTTAATCGAACGATTTTGAGAATATTCATATTACCGCACCTTGTATCAATCTCCACTTCGTATCCGTTATCGATGGGCGAGTCTATCTCGCCCAGTAGCATAGTTTCAAGTCCGCATGAGAATTGAAATTTTAAAGAGCCGTACTCCAAATACACCAACGCGTATTTTTCGTCGTCGAAGTACACGTGCAGTATTATGCCGTCCTTGAAACGTGTTCTCAGCTTGACGAAGACCCTTAAGGACGTGTTGCTGTCATTCAAAATTTTCACGTCGACGCGCTGTCTCACGTAAGATTTCCCATTGAACGCCGCACGCGTTATGCTTGGGCCAGTTTTGCAGTCATCGCGATTCGTGCAGTTGCACTGTGATGTCCCATGACAAGTCGTATCGTGACATAACGATATGACAGTACATTGTTATTCAATTTACCGAGTTCAACACTAGAACTACCAGAGAGGTCAAGTTAACCCATTCCTGATTTCTTCTTGTTACAATTATGAAAAAGATAATAGATAACTCTCTGCGAAATTACTACGGGAACTGATTTACCAATAGGCAAACTGAATAGTAAATGAAATCCGAATCGTAACACTGTTACAAGTTTCTATAGAAAATTTCAAAAAGTCAATCTGACTGTTCGGCAGTTCTAGTGTTAACAGAAAATTCTATTAATTTCCTAGCATACAGAATTTACATAGTAATGCTGTATAAATACGAACAATGAGATTTTGAGATGCTTACCACGCTATCGTTGCGCCCCGGTGACACTGTTGAACCGGTGCACGATGTCCCCTGACAATCCGTGCTACTTTGCGTGGTAATCGTCGACTGCTCCTTCGTGGAAGATTGATCCTCGTTGACTGTAGTACTCTCTTCGAACACTGTCCTCGTGGTAGTATAATTCATTTGGTACGAAGGGGTGCTGCTCGTAAACGGGACGGTAAAGTTTTCTAAATCCGTACTCGGCGCTCTGGATGGTTGCGCAGATGTTCCTTTCTCCGTGAACGACGTAACTGTCGATTTTGGCACTTCTGTGGTCAACGAACTCGATTCCGAGCTTCTGTTCTGCCAAAATTCCGTGAAACTCAAACCCGACGTGATTGTAGAGAATAAAGTGTTCCTCTCGCTTCCGGTGGTCGTGGGTTCTTCGGTGGTCCTCTCGGTAGGTCTCGTCACTATAGGATACTGGCTGAATAAAGAAAAAGGAGGATACGTTGGAATGTTCATGTTAATCGCACGGTAATTACTATTATTAGGTTGTCGTATTTATCAGGTATCGCTGCGCATGTGAATTGCAACGCTAAGGAAGCATGAAGTAAGATGGACGAACAGCTTATTCCTGCTTGTGGACCGCAGAAAACATTCCAGTGACAACATAAATTTCAACTTTATGCTTTTCAATATTCAACAAACCGTCTCTGTAGATTTCCATGCACCGGATAGAAATCTCAACGTTTCAATAGAAACTTAACAACGAAGGAAACGTCAAACTTTTATATTATAAGAACTGTACGAACTTTCCTTGCAGATGATTCTACAGACTTTCCGAGGAACGATACGTTATGCCTTTCTGCGCAATGTCATTTCTTTACACGGTTCATCAAAATTCACATCGACGCTTCTTAGCAATGCAATTCCGACCGCGCTATTTACTCTGTCGTCGTCGCGTATCTCGTGCTACTCGTCTCAGGAGTTGTCTCGCTGATAGCGACGGATGTCCTGGTCCCTGGATAACTGGTTTCGGTGGTTGTACTTTCATTGCGCGATGACTTCTCGGTCGCATAGTCGGTCTCAATCCTCAGTGTTGAGGTCACAGAGATTTCGCTCGAGACGTCGGGGAATGTTCGAGGCTCTAACGGCGCTGTTTCGGTTTGAGGCATTTCCTTGGTCGCGATGGAGTAAATGGACGACACTTCGGTGAGGAAAGTGCTGCTGTCAGTGCTACTGCTGCTGCTACTGCTGCTGCCGGTGCTACCGAAGAAGCTGGTCTTGCTGGTGGTCGACAGCGTTTCGGTGAAAGGGTACCATTGCGTGTAAGGACGGCTGATGTCCTCGAACGACGTCGAGGACTCCGTTGACGCAGCTGGTAAAGGCGATTCGGTTTCCGGCAGCGTCGACGATCTAGATGGGAAAGTGATACTGGCAGTGGTCTTTCTATCGCTATCAGTCTCATATGTTTCCCTGGTCGTGGGGAATGTTGACGGAAGATCGTGCTGGTCGCAGAACGGTCCGCTGTAAAACTCAGGGCAGGCGCAGGCGAAACTGTTGACGCCGTCCACGCAGGTGCCGCCGTTCTCGCAGTTAGCGAATTTCGATTCGCAGTCGTCGTACTTCAGCTCGCACAACGAGCCGTGGTAATCAGGCACGCAGTAGCAAACTGGCCTTTCGTCCTCGAACAGGCACACCGCGTCGTTCCTGCAAGGGTTCTCCTCGCAGGGCACGACAGCTTTGTCGCAGTCTTTGCCAGTGTACCCTTGCAAGCAACGTTGACAATGAACTAGCTTGTTTATTTTATTTATATTATTTCTGTATTATTATTTCATCGTATTTTCTTCTGGACCATTTCGCGTTACACTGGGTATCGTATCGTAGGGAACTGTTTGCAGATTTTGCTCGATTTAAATGTTACAAGCAAATGGTACCGAGTAATCAAAATCGAAAGAAACGATGTAATCAGGGTTGTTATTGGACGACGAATGTAATTAATCTGGAATATACTTTGAGACTATTTAAGGGCTTACTTAAAGACTACGTGTTTCTCTTTGGAGTTTATGGTATTTCTTTGATTCGATATTTTCTTTAATTCTGTAACTTTGAAATGGTTTATCACGAATGTATGAAACTTACCGAATAAACAAGCGCACGTGTAAGAGGAGGGTATGTTGATGCAGAGGCCGCCGTTTTTGCACGGCGACATGACACATTCGTCGATGTCCTCGTCGCATAGTTGGCCTGTCCATCCTTTTTTAGGGAGAAGGTAACGATACGCGTATTAATTGAGGTGCGAGCGTAGATTGGTTTGTGACGATTGTAATATCGATTGAATATTTGCCTTTCGTGCAACGACAAAGGAAAGAGAAGCCTGGTCCCTCGACGCACTCGCCTCCGTTCTTGCATATCGTGTCGTTGCACACCGAGACATCGATTTCGCAGTAATCACCTTCGCAGGAATTAAGAATGTCATAGGTAGAGTAAACGGAACTACAATATGAAATACTTGCACGCGTTTACCTCGCTAGGCAAATTATAATTTGATCTATATACCACTGGAAATTATATAAATCCAATAGTTGATTCGATTATGTACTATCTTTCACAGTTATCAATTGTCATCTACAAATTAAAAAATTAAGAAAACTAAATCGAATCGCTATGAGTCCAAACGATTATTTGAAAACTTCTTAATATTATTAATAATGCTACGTAAAGTGGCGACATTCTGTAAGATAAACGTGCAATAATGGTAACACAAATCATTTAAATAGTTTGATATTATTAAGTTGATACATAAAAAACTGCATTTCATCCGATAAACTTGATATGTAATCAGATTACATTTTGCCCAACTCTGGTCTACCTGAATATCCGTCGGGGCACTGGCAAGTAATGCCATCGTAATCCAGGCAAGTCCCGTTATTTAGGCAGGGCTGGTTCGAGCATTCGCTGTATCTTTGCTCGCAATTTGTACCTGAAAGTATACATAACGTGATGTGCAAGCGAAAAAGTATGATTCATAATTGCAATAGGATAAGTCGAGTAGAGATGGCCCACTTTTTTGAAGAAAGCTGTTAGTTTATTGACATCATTGATATCTAACGAAAAATAATATATTTCTGAAGAATATATTCCCATAAAGAGTCTCATTTTTCAAGACTAATTTTCCTGCGTTCGATCAAATGATGTCTGAGAGTCGCCTCTCGAGTGCAAAGGGTTAAAAGTGCCTTCAGTCGATTTTTCAAAAGAATCAAGTTAAACGTTACAACAATTACAATCCTACGTAATCTCGTTATTCTTCAATGGTTTTTTAATGTTTTCTAAGTGGACTTAAACCACTTTGAAAATAAACGGTTCGAATATTTTACACCGACTGTTACGTTTCCGTGTTTCGTGATACCGTGGAGGGAGCACACGATCATAGTTTAATCATTCCGTACGTAAACACGCCTCTGACACGTTTAACACGCATGCGATAGGAAATGCAAACGCAGGGATCACGAGTTACCTACAAAACCCTCGGTACAGGTGCAATTATACGCTGCGACGGCGTCGTTGCACGTCCCTCCGTTCAGACATGGATTGGACCAGCAGTCGTCCCAATTAATCTCGCAATTAATTCCGGTGTAACCGTCGATGCAGTAACAAGAATACGTATTGTGCGTGCTGCAGAAAGGAGTCTTGATTAATGGACAGGCTTACATTAACATCGGAACTAACGCGCCCGTCAAAATGGCGGGTAACGGTTTCCTTATTTCGCAATGATTGATATCTAGAAAATATGAAATATCCGAAACGATTTAAAAAATTTCACATGAATATTATAATGAATACGCGAAGAAATCAAAGGAAATCGATAATAATTTTCTGTTTGTCATTGTAGCCTGGAATTTTATACAAATATTAGATCATTTCGTAAAGTCGTTTCTTGTGTTAATTGAAAGGAACAATGGTAATTTCTTAAAAAGAAACTCTAGGAGTAACGATAATATTATTTATAAATTCGTTTAATCGAGCTTGAATTTTCTATATTTCAAATGTATAGCAATTTAATTGCTGCGCAATTGATTTATCTCGACAATTATCATTTACAAAAGTAATTCTGATGTTTCTTTGTTAATTTACGTCGGTTTCAAACAACGCACAGTATATGATAATTTATTATCTGTATACTCAATGGAATCTATTAATATATTATTTGTTTTTCTATTCACGTACCTGTTCGCATCCTCTAAGCAAATCCCGTACATGCAAGGCTCGCTACTGCAGTTTAATCCTCGTGTAAGATCGATTGTTGATACCAACACAACCGTCACAATTAGAATAACTCTTTCATTCAAGAATTCCTCTGTCGGCCATCTTGCGTCACGCATTCTATATAGAAATTATCTAAATTATGTATATATTATAAATCATGGAAAACACTTCTTTGGCAACACATTCTGTATATTTTTCAGCTGTACTTATTTCTCAAAGAGAGTTAGATATTTTCAATTAATACATTACATATAGAATGCTACTTTTTAAAATTCAATCATCCTTTCTATAGTCGAGAAGTATTTCGCAATAAATTAAATTATAGTCCACTTCATGAACGAATTGTTTGACAAAATATTTCCATAACATCTCCATACACATCGTCACGTGATATCTCGTCATTGGCAGCGAAGGTGTTAAACATACATTTCTATAAAACGTTACTGTACATATACCATCAAAATACTTTTTATATTATTCTGGTAGATCTACTTCAATCTCTATTGTAACACTTTTATTCAAAAACAATTGATTTCAAAAGAAATAACTGCCAATGAGAATTTAAGAAAACAGAGACATACTGCTAAGGGATCAGAGGAAAAGTATATTTAACACGGATCCTTCGTTGCTTCCCGAAGATAAGGGATAATTACGAATAATCTCTTGATTCCCTTATATTTGATGCATGTAAACCTATCAAACATTTATTTCCCGCTTGTCCAGTCATCTCGCCTAGGAAGATTCGAACAACAGACAAACAAACGTTTCACGAACACCAACCGAATGAAAGGAACTTTTATTTCGCTGGGATCGTTCACCGTCTACGAATCATCCATTCCGTATTGGTTACCTTTTCACGTTCGTCGATCCTCAAACGAAACTGATGAAACGCTAATTGCGAGTGATACGATGATTTTGTCGGTTTACACTTTCCCTGAACAATACGTATCCTATGTAATATACATACTTGTTAACATACAGTATTCTTGGCAGGTAGTCAGCTACCTGGTAGCCCTAGCAACGCTCGTCTATACAAACGGTGTACGCTATGTTACGCTTGCGTAAAAACTCGCTTCATCGATAACAAACTTTATTCATTTTCGAAAACGTGCGTAACAATTGGTATTAGTTTCTTAAAAGCACGTTTCTTTTTGTCATCCGCAGTACGGATGCCCCTGATGAATGGACTTAATTATTTCTAATCGCGAAATAAATGGATAGACATTTTATTAATGAAATTCGTGAATCGATGTACATAATGTTGTATGAATTTCTCAATAGTCGAATTTGTAATATATTCGTTTGTCTATATTCCTTATTGCGTGACACTAAATTATGTGACAGTTTGTTGGTACTTATATTATGAACGGCAGTAAGAATGTCATTAATATTTCTTATAGGCACGCTAGAAGAATTATCTTCCACGCGACTCAGGAGCCACGGTGGTAATGTCCTCAGTCACGTTACTATTAACTGGCAATCATTCGTTCCTTCATTCATCCCTTTGGTTTCGGGTCAATGTGACGCTGTCATGTAAAGGGTGTTCCATTAGAAATCGAACACTTAAATATTCTTCTGGTTTCCAGTCATTTACGGAGGAACGTTGACATTTTGACGGGATGAAATGTTCATATTTGTATTATTCATCATAAAGATCATAAAAATAGGATTATAGAATCATTGATATATAATTAAGCTTCCTTTGCTGAAAGTTTCGTATAGTTTGAAGAATCTTCGTCTGCGAAGGGTTAACTCTGAAACGTCGACGAGTCTACGAAATTTTAAGATGTTGGAAAGGTCAGTTTTAGATATTAGAGTCTACACCTGTTCTGGACTATTAGGAATCCCCTTTTTTTTATTAACCGAATCTCCTTAAAGCCTTTAGCCTTAATGCGCTAGGATTTTCGTTTAGGAAGACTTCGGTTCTACGGTATTAACCATCGGATCCTTTGTTCCTTCAAGCTGTCCTTAACGTTAATCCTTCAACACCGTCTAAATTACCCAGATCCTTTATGCTTCTTGACAAAAGCATTCTCTTCGATATTTTTTCCATCGATGCATCGGTGGATTCGTAGATCTGGTAGATTTTCTACAGCATCTTACGAGGGAAAAAAGAATTTCTGCGAACATTCAGCCGTTTCTGATGAAAATGTCTATATAAAACGACAATTACAATTTCCAGGATTCAGTTTATTTCACTAAAATTTCATCGCATTGAATGTAGAATACAAGAGCAATTGAAATTATATGCAACAAGTGAATTTATTCACTTGTCGGTAGAGATATGCATCGCATTGTTAACAGGGTACTGTATATTTCGAGGATGTTATTTTTAGCGTGTAGGTTGTCGGATTCTATTGTGCTATGTAACGAGCATTACAAAAACACAGGAAGAAATCGTTCATGAGTTAACGAAATCAATATAAATTCTGCGTAAACCTTAGAAACATAAATAATTCATAAATACCTATATTTCGTATAAACAAATAAACAACGAAGCAACACGAGCACCGCGTGTACAGTGTTATTTATCAAATTCTCACCCAACGAATGTCCCTCTTAACAACAAACACGTGCCACGTACAAGAATCGAAGTTATCGTTACTCGCGCAAAATTTCATACGCAAGAAAAACACATTAATTCGAATGTATCTCGTCGCGAACTGATTCACTGTTCAAAATTCCACGCCGAGTCCCGAATGGGGACAATATTTTCGTTGCAAATGAACGATAACGCTGCTTATGACAGGGCGGTTCAATATAAGAACAAGTATTTCCCTATTTATATTCTCGCTACTGTATATAGCGCGAGAGGATGCAAGAACGCGACCACTACGGTGAACACCGTCGCCGAAGGCAGTTCGTCGACTCTTCAAGGTTCCTCCCGCGTCGTCGGTAACCGTCGGTGAACATGACTCTTCCAAATATCGTCGATCTGGAGGAAATCAAGGAGCTGTTGCTGTCACATCAGAAGGCGAACAAGATTCTTCGCGAGGATCCGCTGCCGTGGTCCGTCGGTCACTCGAAATTGGGCGGTCGTGGACTGTTCGCCACTAGGAATATCGAACCCAACGAGCTGATCTTCATCGACGCGCCCCTATTAATCGGGCCGAAGTACATGGGCAATAAGGCTCCGGTTGGTACCCGTTTTTACGATCGCACGTCTCACAATATCCGTTTCGATTGAATTGTTGCATAAGTTCTGTCTACCATTTCACTGATAAGTGATAGTGACCTATTTGCCGGTATTGGCATCGATGTGAGGTGATTAGATTTGCTATGTTTAAAATTATAAGAAGAACGAAGCTTCGATTTCTAGCTGGCTCGTTAACGTAGCTGACCCTTTGCACTCCGGAGGTGACTTTCAGACACCACTTGATTCGACGTAGTAAACCTATAAAATGATATTTAATCTTGAACTTCGTGTAATGCCTCGATACGTGAAATATTGGAATAACATAGCTTTGTTCCTCGACGTACTTGTGATTTCCCTTCAAGTTAGTTTCGAAGAGTATCGTCTTCGTCTTGTCAGAAAATGTTAAATCTAGTGAGAAACTTCTGAATGCAAAGGGTTAATTATGTATTGCTGTAGATTTTATTGTTATTATCTATTTTATTATGATCGTTGCTACTTTGAGTGTCTCGAGAGAAATATTCGATTATATTTGTATCGCAACGTTTCGTAGATGTTTAAAATATTATCCAGCGTGTCGGTTTAATATCTCCATATTACGATATCGTAAATCTTTGACGAGTCCGATTAAAGATTAAATAATATATCCCGGCTCATAAAAGTTTCATGAACCGTGTTACTCCAGCATAGTAATATATAGGAAATAGTCCTGCTTTCTGTTCTTCGAACACTGTTTCCGTAGAATCAGAATTGTTGCACCGGCGCGCACACAGGCGCGCGCTCGCGCGCGTATCACAGCTAATCGCCACAATTGTTAATTACACAGCTGTAAAAGGTTCAAGCTAGAGTTCTAGTATGCAGGCATCCGCAGATGTGCGTGTGCTGTTACAAGAACGAGTGTCCGCTGTTTCCGTGCGACCACGGCTGCGGCTTGCCGGTATGCTCGGAGCAATGCGAAAATTCACCGAAGCATGTGGACTACGAATGCAAGTACCTGAGGTCGTTGGTACCAACTTGCGGAACCAACTGGTCCTTGGACTTGCTGCTGGCCGTCATAGCAATACGAGGATTGTTCTTGACGGAGCTGCAGCGGAAATGCTTGGCCGCGTTTCAGTGGGACCAGAGTCACGCCGTTTGCCACGAGGTATGACCGTTTAATTTCCCATTCGGACAGCTGATTCAGATGGAAAATATTCGAACATTCGACGCGTTGACTGCCACGATCGTCATGATAGGATCTTTCTAATTACTGGAAACCAATTACGATAAGGAAATTGATGTTTAATAAAAACATTCAGTAGCTTAATTAGGCAACACCGTAAGAGCTGTGATACAACATAGTAATTATAGCAAAGCTTCTTTCTTATGAAAGTATAAGTAATATACAGAACTCTAAAAATTCTCACGATAGCCAACTGTTAATTAAATTTACGTTATTCGACTGCACTTCATTCTAAAACTTAGGTAGACACGTAATCGTTTGTAGTCTAGTAGTTCCACAGTGAAACCGTTTCGTTTTCATTGATTTTCTGGGTTTGAAACGAGATTACTTTTAGCTTTTGTTTAATAGATCTCCCTGGCGAAATCTACGACAAATGTATTAACAGAATTACTTGACTCGAATTGCAATGAATTAAGTATTCGTTAGTTGCAAGTATCAATGCAAAGAATCGGTACGAATTTACGAGACGACCGGAGTCTTTATAGGAAGTTCGATGAATCAGACATCGAGCAAGCTGTTGTTCCAATGAGTGAAGTTTCATCGAATAGTCATGAAGAATTCACGAAACATTTGGTTTCTTTTTTACATATTGTAATCTTGACTAATGAATTTCCTGGGGCAAGCTCGAACTGCTGCAACGGAATGTGGCGAATCCGCCAAGCGAAGAGGACAGGATGTTAATGAAGCGAATTTGCAAAACACTCAACATAAACGCGTTCGAAACGGTCAGCGTCCAGGATAAGGATCATTCATCGAGCTTGCGCGGACTGTATCCTATAGGCGGATTACAAAATCACTGTTGCGTGCCGAATACAAGGCACCATTTTGACGGCGAGCAACGGCTTTATGTGAACGCTGCGCGTCCGATTTCCGCCGGAGAAGAGCTCACCATGTCTTATACAAGCTTGTTCTGGGACACGATGCTGCGAAGGCATTTCTTGAGCGCCACCAAATATTTCTCCTGCGAGTGTAAACGGTGCAGCGATCGTACAGTAAATCGTTATTTTGTTTTACATGACTTTCCGTTTCCCTAAATTTTGCAATTTCTTTTTATTCAATTTCCAAAGTTTTGTACAATTTACGTGGATAATCACTGTTTCACGTTAGATTTTGTAGTTCCTTGTCACATACGGTTTCTTAAAAATCTCGATCTTCCTCGAAATATTCGTTTATCTTTCATTTCTACTTCCATTAGATAAAGGACCAAATTATTAATATTGAACCATCTTGTTGTAGGGTAATTCCGATTTCATTTATATCGTGAAATATCCATATTTTCAAATGTTCTTAGTATACTGAATCTTGCGTAGAGGCCCATTTAATTAATTCTATTTTTATTTATCATCCATGTTTTTGTATATTCGGGTACTTTCTATTTTCACTTCATTGTATTCAGTTTGCCTACTGTAAAGAGCAATAACGTTCCTCTATTAATGTTACATGTCCCTCGAGAACTTAGATTTACGTAATGGTTTTTCATCGAATAAGTTTCTAGGAAATTTTCAATCAACAGCGAGTTAATGTAACTTTCTTGCAATATTAGGAATTTGGATCTGGACTGGGGGCATTCTTGTGCGCATCCGAAGATTGTTCTGGGAGGCTGTTACCTCAAAATCCACTCAATACAGCGACTCCTTGGGGCTGTGATAAATGCTCGGTCGTCATAAGCAATCGACAGGTGTCTATATTTTATTTAAGTCATTTATAATGTTAATAACGTTTTATCTGCGTCTATTTCATAAACATATATCAATCTCTTTCTTCTTTAGATATCTTCGATTCGTTCCAGTTTGTCAGTTATAATGGAAAATGTCCTTCATAAAACTCCGCGTGAAATTTATAATTTCATGCAAAGGGAACTTTCATTGGTAATTCCGGCTACCAATTATCTTGTTATGGACATAAAGTTCCGAATCATTTCATATTACGGTAGAGCCGAAGGCGTTGAATGGGCAGGTATTAAAATTATATACATATATTTTGTTTTAAAAATATTAAATCATATTATATCCCCCTCCCCCTCAAAAAAAAACATTAGATTTATCTGTCGCGGAGCTTGATACTAAGGCTAAATATTGCAAAGATTTGCTCTCTGTTCTAAAAACTTTGAACTGTGGTGACTGCAAGAAGAAGGGTAAATTACTATTTTTTTAAAGGAAATACATAGATATATTTGTTTTTCCCTGCAAACAGAATAATTCTGTGAACGTTTCAGGTCTTATTTTGTATGAATTATATTGCACAAACATGGAAAAAATGAAAAGAATACAACAACAACGGAACATCGCAAATGATCACGCACATTTTTCTATACAGGTGTTTATATTATTTATTTATTTATTTATTCTGAAGTAATAATTTTTATATTTACATCATATGCCTTTTTAGAATGATGAAAACGAGCGTCTATTAAAGGAAGCAATGACTATACTGCAAAATGATGTTGTCGCAGCTGTTACCTTTGAATATGATAAGAAATTTTTTAAATAATGCTAATTTTTATTCCAAAAATAGTACAAAGGAAATATGATTTTCATAAAGAAAGAAAATAATCGTTTGCTCATATTAAAAATGAATTGTTATATGTAATATTATCTATACATACCTTTCAGATGTGTACAAAAATTTGATAAAACACCTGATAAAAATTACAATTACTACATTAATACGAATCAAATCATTTAAGTCAAATCATTAAAATCTTAAGAAAACATACTTGTTTTTCCAAAATTATAAGCACACAAGATTTTTAGAAATGGTTTTGTTTAGATTTAAGCATCTAAAACATTTATAATTTTTTTGTAATTTAAAGAAAATAATGATATAAAATAGTAACGTAATATTCGTGTACGTTTTATGCTTTTTCAATACAGTTACTCGATCATAATCAACCTTGACGATTATGATTCTTGTAAAGAATAATATATAAAAAATGAATAATATACAAAAAATATTCAATTATCGTAATCGAAGGGCTAAATGTTAAAAAGAAATGGATCAATTTAATTTTTTCCTACATTGCACCACTAAAGGTTAAATTGGCTGCAGTTGGCAACTGAACCAATCCAACATATAATAAATCGATGCACTTTCGCATTATATTCTACTATTTAATATAGCTGCAAAGTGCAATTTTGGGAGTCATGTCCTATAAATAAACGCTTTTTCATACAACTTGTTGTAATAAACATTTTGCTTCTTCATATAGGGCTGTACACGGTCTCAAGACTTCTAAATCATAATCCACATCTTCTTCAGTATTTACATTGCTATTCCTATAAAAATATAGCGTCAAACACGTTACATCAGATTATAAATAAATTATATAAAACTTACTTATACAAAAAGTCGTCCATCGCAGGTAACATTTCGTTATTTAGATTATGTAACAAGCGATTTCGAACAAGAGCCGTGTGCATGAATGCAACATTGTGAAGGAAAAATTCTGAATGATCTATAATAAACATTAAATGAAACAAATAAGGTACAGACAAATTATTCATAAAAAGTATAAAGTGAGACGTACCATTTTTTCCACATTTCTTCGCTAATTTCTTCATTAAATCTTCGCCTCCATATTTCGCGGAAATACCAATTCTATGAAGAATTGCCTTACATTGCCAACGATTTTCTGCATTTTGATTACACGATGTAGATCTTCGCGGCTGCGTTTCTTTTACGAGACTTTCCCAATCAACTCCTAAGGCATCTCCTAAACCTTTACCGCTTGTTTTAATGTCCTCTTCTAATTCACCATCGGAAATTTCTTCGAAATCCATAGTCTCCATATTTTCATCTTCCAGATTCCTAAATAACATTCAAATTAAAGAGATAAGAGTATTAATTATTAAAATATAATAATAAATATAAATGTATCACTTAAAACAGTACCTGAATGACATAGTGTCAGTAGTATCTTTTCCTTTTGAATTAAATACAGTTTCTTCTATGGTCTCTTTTGGAGATGACGGGGCTGTTTCTTGAGTCGTTATCTGTGTATCTCTTTGCGTTGTATCAGGAGTTTTCTTTGATCGTGTTTTATTTGTATCAACATCCTGCAGAGGAAAGTACGTTAAAAATTTTTTTCAATTTACAAGTAAAGATTAAAGAAAAAATATATACTGTAATATCTTCCATGTTTAATATGTCATCTGGATCATCACTAATGTCACTAAGATCACTTTCGGTATGAAGAGTTTGTAAAGATTCATCGATGCAGGAACGTTTCGGTTCAGTCGTAACGGTTTCCTTCGTTTCAGATTTTTCTTTTAACAAAACTTTTTTCGGAAAACTATCTATAGACTTCTCGCGAGTTGTAGACAGTTTACCCTCTGCCAGTTCCATTAACTTTTTATTAATAGGCTCTTCCTTCATGCTACCATACAAAGATGCTTGTTTAGAAGTATGAACTGTACACTCATCCCTAGTTTCTGAATTATTGTAAGTTCTTCTTTTACTGAAAATGAAAGCGAAGCATAATGTTGATACATAACACCAAATAATGTTATGTAAAAATAACATACGTATGAGATGTAGATTCTCCTATTTCTATTTCTTTTGAACGATCATTTCTATAATGGCCGCGAATATGCACAGATTGGTTATCCCATTTTCGGGCGTCATTTGATTTCCAATCTGCAATAGAATTATCATAGCGGGAATTCCAGTCTTCATCGTGTACTTCTGAACGAGGAAGACTATCTCTGCTATCCCATAATGCTCTGACACGCCATTCTCTTTCCTCCCAATCAACGGGACCATAAGCTCGTTCTCTACCGTGTTCTACATCTCTATGATGATTATCCCAATCATCATTGGGAACATTTTCATCGCTAATATATAAAACAAAATAATGATTTATATTTAAATAATCTAATCACCGAAGAGTAGCATTCTCAATATCTTTTAGTTAAACGTTCCATAGTTTGTGTATCATATACGAAACTCAAAATGGACATACTTTGAGTCTATGTTACAAAAAATATCAACAATAGTACTCTCCGTTACTTCAGAATATTGTTAATGTTGCAAACGTACCGAATAGACGTATTACTCCGTAACTTTTCCCCCGGATACAACGGGTGTCTGTGATGATGGTGATGATGCCGGTGATCTTCAAACGACGTCCTGTCTGCCGTTTGTACAACATATCTAGATTCCCGAGATCTCTCTTCGCGAATCCCTCGCCTCTCCTCGAAAGGACTGTCGTACCTTCTTCCATCGACAGGTTTCCTCCTCTCATCCTCGTGGACGTGATGTTCACGATAATCCAAATGTGTGGATGCTTCCTCTTGCTCGTCCCAATGCTCGGACAACCGTCCATAATTCCTATTATAATTCCTATCAATTTCAATGGTACGTCGTGGACTGGTTTCCCGTCTGTCAATCAAATGGTTCACTTTAACGAATGTAACCTACGATTGATCATGCTCGGATACGCAAATTATGATTATACCTTGTACCGAATCGCCTGTGTCTTTCTCGGTCGTAATGTCCGGTGTCTATCCTGTCGATTAAGTTGTCTCGCGACGTTGACAGCGTAGCTGGCGCGGAAGAAGATGATGAAGACGCTATAGAAGATTGAACAGGTGGCAGGGAAGGCGCTTGCGACGGAGGCGGCGCGTTATGCACCGACTTATCCAACAAAGTTGATCGGTCTAGCGATCTTTCGCGTGGGAAACGATCTCTAGGAGAATTTACACCGGTCTTACGAGCAGGTGCATCCTTGTCAACGGCAGTTCTGTCGTATCTGTTATCAATTCGCTGCGAGGATGTTCTGTCTCGATCAGAGAGTGCTTTCGTTTCAGATCGTTCCCTTTCTCTGTCACTTCTACGCTCCCGTGTACCATTCTTCTCAAAGGCACTATCTTTTCCAACTATTCGTTCTTTGTCGCGACTATAACGCGGATTTTTATCCGCTGCTAAACTTATCGATGTGGAAACCAGAGGTGGAACATCCCTATCTCTAGCTTTTAAAGTTTCTTTTTCCCGATCTCTGTCTCGATCGCGATCCCTCTCCCGTTGTCTGTCACGATCTCTGTCACGATCTCTGTCACGATCGCGATCTCGGTCTCTCTCCCTGTCACGATCGCGTTCTCGATCTCTGTCGCGGTCACGGTCCCTCTCCCGTTGTCTTTCGCGACAACGTTCCTGCAAATCCTCCTTGTCTTTATCACGCGGATCTCGTTGGTCTCGGCCAAGCCTCGAATGACCTCGTTCGTCTCTCGTGTGGTCCTTATCGCGCCGCTCTCTACTTTTCTGTCGCGTTTTATCACCCACGTAAGCTTTGTCGTCGAACTCTTTTCCAATTCGTCTGTGGCTTTCTTCCTGACTTGTCACTTGTCTGGTTCTACTGCTTGGTTCAGTCTTCCTGATATCTTCTCTGTCCTTCGTTTTGTCGCTCTTATGAGACTCACGATCCTTTTTCTCAACGTCTCTTGATCTGTTCGCAGAAATCTGTCTGTCTTGAGTTTTCGAGGGTGACGGCTCCCGTTTCGATCTTGAAGATTTCTCGGGCGTACGACTACGACGAGCTTTTGTTGAGACTGCTTCTTTAGAATGTTGATGCTTTGATCTTTCGGATGGTGGTGGTGTCCTCGAGCGTAAATCTTTATCTTTGCATTTTACTTTCATCCTTTCGTCGATTTTTATTTTCTCCTCTAACGCACGATTTTTTTCTTTTTCTTGTTCTTTCCCTTTGTCAAAGGATTTAGTTTTAGTGCTGTCTTTAGGTACTTCATCCGCATCTCGTACCTTCTTATAATGCCTGTCCTCTTTCTCTACATCTCTAGCTTTAGTTGCTTTCGGAGATTCCGTCCTATTTCGTTCTCTAGCTTTATTTGATGCTGCATGATGAGGCACTGATACCGAAGAACCCAATACTGTTGCTGCTGTAGATGCAACCGCGGCAGGCACTTGTATTACTGGTGATCTTGTACGAGGAGTAGAAGAATGTTTTCTTGACGTTGAAGATGAAGTATATTTCTTAGCTGATCTCCCAGCAACTTCTTTTTTCGTCAAATTACTTTCCAGTTTACGCTTCTTTTTAACAGCTGGTTTGTCATTTTTAGTACCAAGCCTTTTCAATTTCAATCTATTAAATACAAATAAGTTTATTATACACATTTAATAAAGAAAATTTTATGTAATAACATGTATAACATAATACAACAAACTCACTTTCGTCTTCTTTCTTTATCTTCATCGTAATCTGTAGAACCGCTATGGTGTCGTTTAGATTTAATTTTTTTAACCTTCTTTCGTGAATCAGAGGTTGAACTAGAAGATGAATCTTCACTGCTGGAACTGCTACTACTACTGGATGTACTTGAAGTACGAGAACTAGAGGAAGACGTCATTGCCTTTTTCTTCTGTCTCACTTTGTCTTTTCCATGAACTTCTTTATCTTTCTTCATTTGTAGCTCTAATTCACGCTGTAAAAGCTGTCTACGCCTTTCCAACACTTTCTCGTCTTCGTATTCTAAATCTGTTTGATTCCAATCTTCTAGATTTAAATCAGGACTGTGCGATGCCTTTTTTACAATCTTAGAAGTAAGCCTTTTAAATGGATCCTCAATAAGCTATGTATTAAAAATACACATATGTAAATATCTTTCTGCAGTAAACATTAATATAGTTTTTATTGATTATAGAATACATATAGTAAAATTGTTACGACGAAATTGAAAATTTAGAAACTTACTCCTGTAGTAGTTGTAATAGCATTATCCTTCTTGGCACGCTTGGATGGACTTATTAATGTGTGAGTATTTGCATATCTGGTTATAATATAAAGAAAGAAAATATTGATCCTTTTAAAGGAAATAAATAATAATTCTTACTCTACTCTTTAAATAAGAAAACTGGTACTTTACAATTAACACAACATTTTAGTGAATTGCATGAAAGAAGAGCATACTTTATTTTTTTAATGAAATATGAAAATTAGAACATTATACTTACTTGCAATTTTTTCCATACGAACAACTGCCATTCAATGCCCAGTTTCTACAATAATCCGATGAATTTTGGCCGGCAGTAACTGCTGGTTTGGTCCCCAACCTCTCAAACACACTTGGTCGACGAGAGTCTGTATTACATTTCGTAGGGTCAACCGTTATTTTTCTTATGCTTGATTTTGACATATTATCACCATAAAACAATTATGTTTTCACAATGGAAGCACATAACTGCAGCATGCAAATATTCATTTGCTATGGAATCACCATTAATAAATCAAGTGTTCATAAATATAAGCACAGTCCTCAAAGAATCAATTAGATATTTCGAATCAATAAAACTCAAACTTGCTGGTTATGTTCCATATGATTGTTCCTCTTGCGACTGCCACTCTGTTTCTTATTTTAATATTTACAGTTATTTTGATTGAATAACTCTTCAGGCCTAACCCCTGACACAACTTACTGCATATGTACCAGGGTAAGTTCACTGAAAGAGAAGAATTGTTAATACGGGTTTAGTACGAAGCATCTCTTGGAGGGTCTCTGAGGGTAATTTTAATTTTCGAATTTTTCACTAGATGGCACTTACATTGCTATTTCTGTTTCACTTTGTAATCGTGAGCTCTTTTCACGAAAATATTATATTTCTCAATATATATTTTTTCAAAAAGAATTTAAACGTGCTAAAGCTTAAATACAAGATATAGAAAATACAATAAAAGTAAATTCATTTTTATGTTAAGTAAATTTTTGTTATCATGGTTCTTATTTTTTAATAAAATATTTGTCACATAAAAGTTTTCAAGATTATTTAATTTTTACTACTCTAATATTTTTGCTACAAATTATATAAATAACTGAGATTATTTATAATTTATTTATTCATTATTAATAAATGATTTATATCTATACATAATCATAACTTACATTTGTACATGAAAGTATTTTTATACGTAATTTTGATTGTCATTTCCAATATTGCAAACATTACTGTTACATTGCGAGTAAATTTATGAAGATTTTAAAAAATATTTATATTTTGAATATAGAACAAAAATTTAACTTTCTATTGTACACATTTTATTCTTCAACAAAGTATAACTATATTTTTCATTTAATTAATATATAATGTATTACCATTTTTAGACAACAAAAATATCAGTGCAAATATGCATTAACAATGTAGTATTCATATTTTGAAACAATTTGCTTTAATATTTTGTTATAATCTTATACTATCTTGAATAAGTAGAGATTACTAAATTATTATATAGTTACAGAAATATATATTTTGTTATTTTTTTTACAGATCTTTTCACAATGACACATTGCAATTGTGGAGCGGCACATGAGGAAGAAAATTTGGGTATACAATATAATTTGTATGAAAAAATTGATATATTAAATGTTGAGTGTTTAAATGAATGTGAGGAAGGTAGCGGATCTACTGTCTTTAAACCCTGGGAAGACAGGTTAAATAGAAGTAAAGTAATTATCTATATATATTTATTTTGATATTCTATACAATCTAATTCATTATACAGATAATCATACTTATTACCTTGTAACTAATCTACTTCTTTTCAGTATGTGGAAAGTGACGTGGACAATGATGTTAATGAACTTTTATTTAACATTCCGTATGTACTTTTAATGTACTTTCATTAATTTCATTTGTCAATTGTTATTATTATATTATTGGTAAATATTATTTCTATTTAGCTTCACAGGAAATATAAAATTAAAAGGCCTGATTGTCATTGGAGGTGAAGATGAACTTCACCCAAGCAAAGTGAGTTTGTGAGTATGTCTGAAATTCTTATATTGACACATTAAGTTGAGCTTGTATATAAAATTTACATTACTTTACGCTAAATGAAATATTCTTGTAATACAGATATAAAAATCGACCACACATGACATTTGATAATGTGGTACAACCTGAACAGGAATTTGAACTTTGTGTGGATACGTATGGAGTACATCAGTATTTCCCTAAGTAGGATATTGTATTTTTTATATAACATTATGTATTTTTATAAACTCTAATTCATAAATGATTTAGTATATTTCCTTATCATTTATTAGACTGAATGAATACATAAATATGTACAGACTTAATATGATTTGTATTGAATATTACAGGGTGGTAAAATTTTCATCTGTAAATCATTTAAGTTTACATTTTACGGGACGCGAAGGACAGGATAAAATAAAAATTTATTATATTGGATTAAAAGGGGAATGGACACCTGCACATCAACATGGAGTCACTATTTGTACTTATGAATTATTACCACAGAAAAGTGAAGAACTGAAGGACAACAGAGAAGTTGACAGAGCAATTGGTTGATTATATAACATTAAACTAATAAAATGTGCATTTTGTTTTGTGAATTCAAATATACACAATTATGAATTATGAATAAATATTTATAAATGAATATATACTTGTTTCCTTATATCATTCTGTAAAATTTCAATTTTCCCATTAATCTTTAATTATCCTATTTTTTAATTACGGAACTTTCAATGAAATATCATACAACAAATAAATATTGTCATCCAAAAGCCGATATTAGTCATATATAAATATTACATTATTGCATATAAAATATCGTTCTTCCAAATAAAGATTAAATCAAAATATTTACTATACAATCCTTTACAATCATTTTAACAATTAACCAATTTCATTATCAAGGTTTGCAAAAACTTGCGGGCAAATCAAAATCAGTCCTATACTACAATAGCGCAAGATCTCACGAATAAAAAATCTTTAACTTCAAGAATTCAAATATGAAGTCTTCAGACATCATCTTTACTTCTCAACAATCTAAAAAATTGAAAAAGGAACACTGCGAAAGCAACGTTCGAAGAATGTTTGTGTTCGAAAGCTAATGTTTACAAAAGCCGAATAATAAAATAATTCGTGGGACAATGAAGTTCATCCGATGAAATATACGAACGGTATCGTCGGAAACAGTGCGCGATTGAAATTGTATTTGAGAAAAAGAACGAAAGTCTCGCGTGTATCGGGCGCGATGCATGTTGCGAAAATAAAATAAGACACTTCATTTTAATTGTGCAATGAGTGTTTTCATCCACGCGCGTCGAAAGCTTTCCTCGTGACTCCGAGCAACGTGCTTTTCGGCGTCCACCGGGGATCTCCCCTTCCCTCTTCTTTCGTTCCCTTCCACCATGAGCACCAACTTGACGCGGTACTTGGTATCGCGAGTAACAACGCTCACCAAGTCCAACAATTGCAACTCATGGCACACGCGGCCGTCGGCTCCTCCAACGAGACAAACAAGCGAAAGAAAAAAAGTACAAGCGAAAATGTCGCATGTGAACCGATGGACCAGACCGGAAAGGACACCGCACAGCATCCCTTGCCACCTGATGGAGGATGGGGATACGCCGTTGTCCTTGCATCCTTCTTAATCCACGTAATCAGTATGTATTTCCTTTTCTTCGTTTCCTTAGAATGTAACTGAAATTATTAAAATCTCGAATTTTACGGTATTCGCGAACTCGCGGTGCAACGGGCTTTCGTTGGCACCCATTTTTACGATTAAACATTCAAACGTCGAAGAATTACGTGCCCGGAGATCGAGCGTTTACGAAAACACACTGAAACGGGCACTTCTCTTCTGTTTATAAATGATCGTGGACGCTTAAATGTTTCTGGAAGTTTGTTTTCTTGAGTGAATTGATACTTTCTGGCTTTAAAGAATGACAAGAAACTTGTGTATTTGAGAAACCTCATTCAGAACGGTGCTATTTGAAAAGTAATGTAGAACTGTTTTGATGAATGGAACGGTGCTTGAAATTACGGTTAAAGTAAATTTATGAACATTAGGCATTTAGAAACGTTCCTCTGAAATATTATACTTGTTAGCCACAGATGTAAATTGATAAATTGAAACTCTATTAAAGATTGCACAAATTTTGATTATGTTAAGTTTAATGGACTAATTACATTTCTTCCATTAAACTCTGTCGTGCTGTTTATAATCGTGTAAACTATACTCTATTTTCAGCTTGATTTTATTTATTTTTAATTATGTTCACATAAGTGTGTTAGATTCGAAAATTCAGCGGAGATTGTCTTGTTCAATTTATACAGTCTTACATTGATTTAATAATATTAAATTCTGCATGAACATACAGAATCCGTCGAAAATTGTTCTACCGATGCTATTTGATTGTATCGAGGAAAAAAGCATTCAATCTCTAAATGACGGTAATTATATTTTTAAGTAATACCACGTTTAAATGATATCGAGTGAGTTTCTCTTTTAAATTTACACGTCGCACACCATGAGTTTCACTTTTACTCTCATTACTTTCGTTGCAACCAGACGAGAAAATATTATACAATTAGTTATGTCCCGTCGATGTATATTTTATTTAATTTATGCCCCCTTATTTAATTACCGAAAACGTGCTCTCCGCAGCCGCGAATACTTTTATGCCGGTTTATTTTTGGAATCACGTGTTTTTTTCTTATTCCCGTCCGTGAAACTTTATCGCTACTTCGATTCCGGTGCCGCTTTGATCCCGTTTTGGATGTATTAATCGGATAAATGATGGATTTCGTCATTACGGTACGGTGCGCGCGTAAAATGCCCCGCTGATGCCGCCGTACAGCGCGTATAAACTGTTGCATTCGTGGAAGTTGCACAGATTTCACGATCGACACTGCGGTAAAAATAGTTTAATCTTTTAGTGGCCGAACTGAGAGTAACAACTTTGACCACTGGACTGCGAATTCTATTCATGCGCGGTGTCAACGATAGTTTGAAGCTCGAAAGAAAAAAAGGTTTTGTACTTAACGATTCCGATTTCAATGAATTTCGTTAGAGCCTTAAAAGAATATAGAACAGATCGTTCTTCTTATCAGACAGAGATTCATTCTCTAGATAGAAGAGTCATAAATAAATTTACATGATAGTTTTTATTAAAACCGATTAATTGATTATAATTTCATTTTATTTATTGCCAATTATAAATGTCACCAATTAATTTTTTATCGATTAATTGACTGCAATCGGTTTCGAATGAATTGGCAACGCTGTTTATCTGTGACTATTGCGGCAGTCGAAATATTAATTTAAGTAACAACATTCGCTATCGTACGCTGAATGCATGCGTGTTTGTGACAGTTAAGGATTTCGTATTTTGCATGAAAAACAATACAAACGAAAACGTGCGCGATTCGTTATATAAAATCTTACTTCACGTAACGTTCGGAAAATCAATAAATCCCGTTTAATTGGTTTCACGGTAATATGTACTAATAGAATATTGGAAATGTAAAACTGTTTGTTTTCAACAATTAATCGCACTGTCTATACTTTGGCGAGAGCAACGTAAACGCTCTATGATTTCTATTGTTCCATAGAGTCATACATTTTTCATATAAACAATTCGCAATCTATTAATCGAGATGCGAATCTATTAACACGTTGACTGCCACAAAAAATATCAGCGTTTTATGTATCACCTATCCTTTCTATAGCAAAGATACAAAGCAAGAATTATTAATTCTTTGATACGAAAATTCTTATATTACCCTATTATCTAGTTATTTACGTTACGGAAAATTTGTATTCGAAATTAATGACCCTCCGAGTCATAATTGTTTTCTTGTAATTTGAAAGCTCCGATCATCGGTGACTGCCATGGCAGTCAAAGTGTTAACGCATTCCTGCAGTTTATATTTTCTGTGGAAGAATTCTTTAAAATGTCTTCTTCGGTTTTAAACTAGCAGTGTTTCAAAAAATTGCCGAAACTTCGAAATAAATTTAATCTGATGGAGATGAGCTCGACGCATGGAGAGATACAGTTATCATTGTATCCTCCTTAGAACAAAATTTGTTTAACATATACTCGTTGTTCCTATTTATCATGGCAATGGACGTTCCCCATTTATTTTCAAAATATCACGTACAAAGGAACGAGAAAAAGTACCACCCCTTATATCCTCTTCTAAAGCAAGAAAAACAAGGCAAGAACGATTAAACTGAGTCATTTCCTCTGCTTGTACATCATCGTTGTTCCAAACAAAGCTTGTACGAAGTCTGTCAGGTTTCTAGGAACTTACTATCTACGAATAACGACGATAGAACGACAGAGAAAAAAGTAACGGTCGAGATCATCAACTTTCTTTGGTAATGTGGAACTCTGAACCGTGGCGCGCGGGCAAACTTATTGATGACTCGACGATCCCATTTTCAAAACAGCGTGTAATCAAATGCGGAAATTAACCAGCGTATAATATAATCGTGCGTATGGGGGAAAATGATGATACTTATCAATGTTTAATTACTCGATGGAAAAGAACGATCTTACGATTGGCATTTCGCTCGTCCACGTGCATTGTTTAGCAAATGTTCATGCATACGTGATCTCTGTTTCCAGTAAATTTATTTATTCAACACGCCGATTATTTTGTGTCTTACTGATGCACGAGTATTAAAGTCAAACGATCTCTGTAAATATTTATGTTGAAGTGTTGCAATCGTCGTTGGAAGTCACGAAAAAGGAAAACAGGCAATTTTCATCAGTCACAGTACATGTATAATGTTGTACTCATAAGTATGCAAATAATGAAGCAAAGATCTTGATATTATATGAAGCGAATTATA